TTGACTTCCTTTAGGATTGACTGGTTTGATCTCCTTGCAGTCCAAGGGACTCTCAAGAGTCTTCTCCAGCATCACAGTTTGAAAGTATCAACTGAACAACAACAAACACCACAGAGAAGACTGTAGTAATGATTAATGAGGGCCAGATGTGAGGCCCTGGTAGAAGAATGCTGTACCTTGTACTCAAACAGGGGGAGGCCCCGTCTTTTTTCACAGTATTTTTTCCATTTGAAATTGCCCCTCCTCTCATGGCCTGTCAATATCTTGCCCATCTTTCCAGGCTCACTCCAAACACACTCTCCCACGAAACCATCCTGGATTTATCTCTCTTCCTGTTGGGTTCCTAAGGCTCTGTTTACATCCCTTGTGAAGGACCCATCTTATTCTGCTCCATCATTTATACACATGCAGACAACTTTTCTCAGCTCCTGGGGGATAAGATCTGTGCACCAAGCACTGTGCTGGACCCTGATACTGATTATCTCTAAGCCTCACAACAAGCTGCACAAAGTACTGGCCCCATTTCACAGATGAGGAAACTGAGATTAAGTGAGGTCCCATTACTGGTATGAGGACTGTCACCTGTTAAACAGAAGAGCTGGACTCTGAACCAGCTCATGTCAGTTCAGAGCCTTTTGCTCTTTCATATCACGCTGCCTAGGTTGTGACTAAAGAGTATATTTGAAATGAAGACAACACTAAACTAACTCAAGACATGAAGGCCTCTATACCTAGACACAAAAGGATCAATTAACTTATTATCCTATGATTTTCCAGGCAATCTGAAAAGAAAATGTTCACATTAGGGGAAGCACACTGACTGAAACCGCCTACCCTGGCCAGGCACCATAGTAACCATTTGCATGAGGTCCTGGTAAGGAACATGGAACTAATAAGCCACCACCAACTGGAAGAGTTTGGGAAAGGTCAAAAGAAGACACCATATGTCTGACCATCTCCCAGAATCCTTCTCTCTGGCATCCATCTTGGCTGAACGAGTCATGTACCACCAGGAAGGACTCTAAGTCAAAATGATTGGCTAAAGACAACCCTGAAAGTAATCCCATCACCATAAAACCCAAGACTGCTAGCCACATGGCAGAGCAGTTCTTCTGGGTTCCCTTACCCCACTGCTCTCCACCTGGGTGCCCTTTCCCAATAAAATCTCTTGCTTTGTCAGCATACGGGTCTCCTCGGACAATTCATTTCTGAGTGTTAGACAAGAGCCCAGTTTCGGGCCCTGGAAGGGTACACCTTCCTGCAACATCCATGATGGCTGGAATGTGGTAAATATGAGATGAAAGTACAAGCTTATAAGCATCCAAGAGGGCTTTGTAAGGTCAAGTGATGTATGTGGGAAAATATCAAACTAGAATTTATCAGCATGATACCTTTAACTGTGTTATGCCTGAAAGTTTTTAAAAGCCTTAAAAATGCTTTGTAAAAACTTAAAAAAAAAACCTTAAAACTCAGAAGTTTTTAAAAATGGTTAAAGATGACAAGCAGACCAATGTTGCATACCTTCTTGCTTATGGTAACAGAATATGTTTACTGTTGATTTATGTAGTATAAAGCATGCATATGTAATATATGTACAGCCCTTATATAAATTATCAGTTCAAATAATGAAAGTGACATATATAAAGAAGATAAATTTTTTCTTACAAGTCACATTTTATGGATGTGATTTTACCAAAAACTGTTTGAGCTTACAATTAGAGGCTAATTTATTTTCAAAATTATTTTAACATTTATAGAGTGCTTGTTATGTCCCTAGCAATCAGATGCTTTAAAATCACTATTGCATGTCATTCTCGAAACAACCTTATAAGATTGACAGTATTATTATATCCATTTTACAAATGAAGAAACAGGCTTGTAAGGTTCAGACAATCAGTCAAAACCACATACCTAGCAAACAGAGAAACTGAGACTCAATCCCTGAGTCTTCTGAGTCCTGGGCCCTGGAGTTGACATAATCAGCCTGAACTGATGTTGCCAATGGGATCACTTCATGTCTCCCTGTTTCATCAGAGGAATGTTTTCATCTGGATGAACTTAAACATTTACTTTAATTTGACCTAGTTTAATACATCTAGTTGTTATTGACATATGTATTCCAAGAAACACTGTTTTCCAGTGCTTTTTCTGCTAGGATTTGGGGGATGTAGGAGGAGGGAAAACCTTGGGAAAAATATCTTGATTATATTTATATGGATGTATGTGTGGATGGGGCTTCCCTGGTGGCTCAGATGGTAAAGCGTCTGTCTCCAATGCTGGAGACCGGGGTTCGATCCCTGGGTCAGAAAGATCCCCTGGAGAAGGAAATGGCAACCCACTCCAGTACTCCTGCCTGGAAAATCCCATGGGCAGAGGAGCCTGGTAGGCTACAGTCCATGGGGTCGCAAAGAGTCAGACATGACTGAGAGACTTTACTTACTTACTTACTTATGTGTGGATGGACAGATGTAGAGAAAAGGGTTAGAATAGTAATGACAGCGACCATTTACTGAAACCCTGACATGCCTGCATTTCACAGGCATGGCCTATAGCCTTTACAATAACCCCACTCCTCCTGCATTTAATAAGAAAGGATACTGAGACAAACACCTGGAGATACTGCCTAGAACTGCTTCTCTCCAAAGGCCAAGCCTTTTCTACTGCACATACAGTCTCCGTATCTACAGGACAAAATAACGCCAGCACACCCCTATTATGTGACCACTGATGCCCATCCACTGACACATAGATTCCAAAAGGAGATGAGCAGAGGATCATTAATCATTAGGTGGTTCCCAGGTGTCATAACAACCTTGCTGATCCCTGTTAATCAGTCAGAGATGACACTTCAGAGCAGCAGCAAAACCTCATGGAAACTTTCTGATTCAATGTCATCTTGAAATGTCAGAGGCCCAGGCAGGAAACAGAACATACCCAAAGTGACAGAAGGCAAGACTAAGCCACAACCAGGACTCATGTCTTCACTACTTCTCCGCCCTGGGCCTCCTTCCTGCCAAGGAGGGAATGGGCATGAGGGGCCCAACTCCATGTCCTGACCGTGCAGAGAACAGGAGAGCAGTCCATGTTCATAAACACCACATCATGTACAGAAGAAGTTCTATGCAGCCAAGTCCTACAGGGCCCCTTCCCACCAAAGTCTGTGCTGCACAGACTCTTCATCAAGGATGGGTGAAGCTCTGGACACTGCCCACATTACTGGTCCTGTCACTCCATGTGGCTGCAGCAAAGCATTGGCCCCCGGGGAAACACTGAATATCAGCCACTGTCTGATATTCAGCACCTGATCTTTTGCAGACTCTCAAATGTGGGAAGAAAGACAAGGCTGAGCTTCACCAGAAAGGCAAGGTCATAAAGAAACACCCACACACTGGTCTGGGTCTCTGGAGTCTGATCTGGGCATCAGGAGGTTGACATGATTAAGGTAAAGAGGAAACTCCTGAAATCTGTTTATTCAACATCCCACCTTCCAGCTTTATCCATCACCTGCTTTTTAAAAAGTTCTCTCTCCAAGCCTCAGTTTTACCAACTATAAAATGAAGATGATAACACTGAAGTTATTCATAAAGAATTAATATTTCATATACCCTCTTCTGGGTGCATGTCTGAAACAGAAAAATGATTTGTATGTAGACTCTGAATAAATGGGAGTTATTGTCTCAATGTTTTATGTTTGCTTTCCCCTTCTTTTCTTACACAGTATAAACAATATTTAATAACAATCTTGCTGATAACTGCTAACTTGACATCAGTTCTGCAAACACAATCTCCCATTAATTAACCATAGACCAGGAGAAAGAAACAGAAGAGTGAGCAAAACATCATCAAAAATTGATGTTCACCTGATAAAAATCTATGATATTCAAGCATTACTCAAGCAAAATTGCTGTTTCCTCAGAAAGCAGATTTAGAGCCTCCACCACCACACCTTTGAAAGACAGTCCCAGCCTTTTCCTCACAGTATAAAAGATGTCCAGTCTGAACAGACCACCATCTTAACACTATTGTTCATGGATTTTTATAACCCAAGAGAGTAAAATACTGTCTAATCTGTATTTATGTTTTTCTTTCTTTTTACCAAATTACATTTTCCTATTAAGTTCAGTTTTCATCATTCATTTACTAATTTCATCTAAATCCCAAGGTAGAGTTAAATGTTTCTTCTTGCCACTTTCTGTGAAACTCAATGCAATTTCTGAAAACAATCTCTCCCCCAATGAAATGAGGCAGGATTAAGAAGAAATTTTAAAGCATTTTAAATTTTAAAGCATTTCATTTTCTTTAATAAATTACAAGTCAAAATCAAGCAGAGAGGGAAACCTGGAGACTTAAAGAGACTGAGGAGGCACCAACAAAGTGCAGAAGGCAGACCTCATGTGGAGTCTGATTCCATCAATGGTGAACAAGATTTCTCAGTGAGATGATTAGCAACATGTAAACACCGATGAGAAGTTGATGATATTCAGAAATTAGGGTAATTTTTCAGGTGATTTAGTGCTGGCACTTTTTTTTTCCAAAGGTTTTCCTATCTTTTAGACAAAAACAGATGAAATGTTTACAGACGGACTAATCTGGGGTCTAGGATCTGCTCCAGAATAATAATGGGGTGGGGGTGGGGCTGGAAGAGGGGAGAGGTGGAGATGCAGTGAGACTGGCCACCAGCTGATACTGGTTGGAGCTGGGGGTGGGTACATGAGGGTTCATTATACTGTGCTTTCTGTTTTTACAAATTTTTGTAACTGTCCATTGAAAGAAACCCAAAAGTGAATGAAGCTTCACCAAATGAAATAAAGGCATTCTGTGATTATCACATCAGAATTAAAACAGTTGGTATACAACTGCATATTTACCCAGACCAGATTAAAGCAACAATCAGACCTTTCAAATTTAAAAACAAAAAAGAACTTTCAACAAATCTTATAGCTTAAGCCACCACTATCATTTGAAATTGGAGTATATGTAGCTCAAAAGTCATTACTCACCTCTTTCAAAGCACAAGCATTTATTACTTCTTCATATCGGTCTTCTTCATATTTCTTCCCAAATAAAATATTACTTCTCACAGTTCCTGGAAACATCCAGGGCTGCTGAGAAACATATGCGATCCTCCCATGCACGCTGACCTTCCCCTGGCTCGGGGGCAGCTCCCCCAGTAGAGCACGTAACAGTGATGACTGAAACAGATGGCAACACACACAGGTGAACAGGCAGCACTCAGGATGGAACACGCCCTGCAGCACAGCCAACCCCACCCTGCTGCTTGATCAAGGATATCAGAAAAGGATAAAGTGCAGCTCTGGATATTGAAGGAAAAAAAATGCAAAAGAGCACTATTGGTCAATGTAAACTTAAGGTAGATAAGGAATATAAATAACATAACAATCTACCCTGCCTGAGTTTCCCCAAATGAAGTGCTCTACTCAGCAAAGACTGTTTAACATCCTTCACTAGCAGAGCAGACCAGCAGGATGTGTACTTTCTGTATCTAATGCAGTTGTTCCTGCATCTGGATATCTTTTACTTGACAAACACTTGTTCTTAAAAAGCTACTTGGGGACTTCCCTGGTGGTCCAGTGGTGAAGAATCCACCTTCCAGGATGGGGGGAAGAGATAGTTTGGGAGTTTGGGATGGACATGTACACACTGCTATATTTAAGATGCATAACCAACAAGGATTTACTGTACAGCACATGGAACTCTGCTCAATGTTATGTGGCAGACTGGATGGGAGGGGAGTTTGGCAGAGAATGGATACATGTGTATATTATGGTTGAAATATACCCTCCACTGTTCACCTGAAAATATCACAACTGTTAATTGGCTATATCCCAAAACAAAATAAAATGTTTAAAAAATTAATAATTATATCCAGATAATTAAAAAAAAAAAAAATGAATCTGTTTCCAATGCCAGGGGCTCTGCTGAGATCCCTGGGTAGGGAACTAAGATCCCACATGCCCCAGGGCAACTAGGCCCACACACAATTAGAGAGCCCGTGTACTGCAACTAAGACCCAATTCAACCAAATAAATAAATATTCTTTTTTAACTTAAAGCAATGTGTGAAGAATATATCCAAAGATTATTAATTAAGAGAACTCTGAGGTTGTTTTGGTCAAAGAGTTAATAAAGTCCATCATGTCCAGGGAGCTCAAATTTGGTGCTCTGAAACAACCTAGAGGAGTGGGAGGTGGGAGGGAGGTTCAAGAGGTAGGGGACATACATACACCTGTGGCTGATTCATGTTGATGTATGGCAGAAACTGACACAATATTGTAAAGCAATTATCCTCCAATTAAAAAATAAATAAAATTTTAAAACAGGTAAAATAAATACATAATTTTAAAAAAAGAAATATAAATAAATATTTTTAAAACTCCATCATAGAGGTAATCATCTCCCTCTCGTGTACAAATCCCACCTTTAGGTTTCTGTATTTTGTTGTGCAAAACACAGGAGACTAAGTGCACATACACATGTCCTTCAAATCTGTTATAACACACAGAAGCGACATGCCTATGTCCACACATCAGAGCACTCACCACAATGGGCTGAAATAATCTGCCTGCATATCTGTCTCCCCTCAGAATCTGGTTGCCTCTGAAAGGCAGAGGCATCGGGGTCTGGCTCATGTCTGTGTCTTAAGCTCTACCACATGGCTACACATTCACTTACATGTGCACTGACAGGACCAAGTAAAGTCACATGAAATGCTCAGAGCTTCTGGGAAGAGCTTTCACCACCTCCAGACTTCCTGGAGGGGCCACTGTGACAAAAAGAAGTCCCCACTGTCTCCATCCATCCTGAACAGCTGTCACATTAATAATTTCTTTCACTGAAACAGCCAAACTCCCCATAAGCGGTTCCCAATTGTGCAATGTGAAACATCAAGAAGGAAAACACAGTGTGTTTATCCAGACTTATTTGCCCATGAAACCTTCTTACAAAACTAATATTCTATGGAACACACCTAGAGAAACACTGTTCTATACACACCCAATTCAAACTGTGTCACACTCAGCTCTGGGCTCCACTCTGAGAATTTAACAGGAGCTGCAGCATTGCGTCAAACTGACAAAAGGCATCACAACTTACTTTTCCTGCTCCCACAGGTCCGACCACAGTCAACAGTTCACCCGGTCTGATGGTAAACGAAAGGCCTTTTAGGGTTGGTGATTCCGATTTCTGCAAATTACAGTTTATAAAAACACATTCATTTCAACAAAGTAACACACATTACTTCAGAAAGTAGTTGAAAATAATATAATAGTCATTGATATACTAATATATCTTGCCTGGTGACTTCCCTGTGGCTCAGTTGGTAAAGAATCCGCCTACAATGTAGGAGACCTGGGTTGGGAAGATCCCCTGGAGAAGGGAACAGCTACCCACTCCAGTATTATGGCCTGGAGAATTCCATGGACTGAATAGCACATGGGGTCGCAAAGAGTCAGACATGACTGAGCCACTTTCACTTTCATGCTAACAGAGCCCACATTTTTTCTCCTTCCTATTTTAAGATACTATGTCCTTGAGGCCTTTTCATCCAATCTTATCTCTATGGGGGTTTGAAGCAGCTATAATTGCCTTTAGGAAGATACCTTATTTCACCAGATTTCCATACAGACCCAGCTCTAGACACCCACAGAATTTAAGTAGTAGAGATGACAAGGTACCTGCCTGAAACTCAAATTGCATGATGCACACAAACTTATTAATATAATGTGCTTAGAATATTCAGGGGGAGGTTTCTAATCATTTATAAGTTTTCATCATGACCTTTGGTTTTACCTGTTTATCTCATTAATCTTCACATGGTGGCAGCATAAGTACCTAGCATGCCTGGTCTTTTAATAAATAATTTGAAATAATTAATCTCTCCATTTTCATTTGATGTAGAATAAACCTCAGTAATGTTCAGCAAGCAAAAGGGCACTTTATATGAAGAAGTCACTCATGCTAAATTAACTCTTTTAAGTAACAGTCAGAGCTCTAATTTAACAAGAGCTCTAATGTAACGCCAACAACAAAATAATGAAGAATAAAGAAATTAATTATGACATCATGGGTCAGAATGATAAAGCCTCAATTTTATATGTGATACATGCATTACCTATCTGGGCTAAACAGGAGCAATAAAGTGCTTCTACTGTAGGGAAAACAAAAAACATGGATGTACACGAGACTGTGCATAGCCCAAAATGATGGAGAAGGGAAAGTACTCATCATGCCAATCATGGGTCAGATTGTTGCAGGAAGGGGGATCCCTTCCATGGCCCGAATCTGGGCTCTTGTCTAACACTCGGAAATGAACTGTCCGAGGAGACAAGTGTGCTAACAAAACAAGAGATTTTATTGGGAAAGGGCACCCAGGTGGAGAACAGTAGGGTAAGGGAACCCAGGAGAATAGCTCTGCTGCATGGCTTGCAGTCTTGGGTTTTACGGTGATGGGATTAGTTTCCAGGTTGTCTTTAACTAATCATTCTGACTCAGAGTCCTTCCTGGGAGTGCACTCGTTGTTCAGCCAAATGGATGCCAGAGAGAAGGATTCTGGGAGGTGGTTGGACATGTGGTGTCTCCTTTTGACCTTTCCTGAACTCTTCTGGCTGGTGGAGGCTTATTAGTTCTGTGCTCCTTACCAGGACCTCCTGTCGTAAAACAACTCATGCAAATAATTACTATGGTTCCTAGCCAGGGTGCGCGGTTTCAGTCATTGTTATTCTCCTAACAATATTCCTGGGAGACTTAGGGTGTCTGTACATCTTTACATATCTAAATGTTAAGAAAACTGTCAGCAACTGCTATGTTTAAGAAACACACACACACATAGTGGTTACATGAGATTCAGTAAAAGTCTAGATAATCTTCAAATTGATTTTTTTTTTCTTTCTGGAAAGAACTGAACTGATTAAAAAACGTTCACATACTAAAAAAAATGACAATGATTTTTCATCACCAAAAATGCTAGTTCCAGATTTTAGGAATTGAAAATCTATCAATAAAAAGCTAGATTTTAAAACATGAGAAAGATTTTCTAAGCTTTTAAAATTTCTCCACTTCTTTCTTCTTGCCTGAGGCTTATTATTCTTATTTTACTACTTTTCACTCAGTTAGGACTACAAAATAGTGAACTACCTACAAACATCAGCTTCCCGTCACAGCCCCTCAGTCTGTCAGGGCGACACGGAGTTCCCTCCGTGTTCAGGCTTCAGGATCCAGCACTGCTCGGGGGGGACCACAAGGGGGCAGCACTCGACAGCTCAGAGGCACTGGGTTCCCTCCCCCACTGGTTATCCAGGCTCAGGGGACACCGACTCAACAAAACACCATCCGCTGAGCCCGGACTCTGTGCAGACACAGTTTGAAACCCCTGTCCCCTGAGATCTGGAGGCTCCCACAGGACCTTTATTTTGCTTCTTTTTTTCTTATTTGGCTGCACTGGGTCTTTGTTGCGCTGTGTGGGCTTAGTTGCTCCAGAACATGTGAGATCTTAGTTCCTCAATCAGGGGTGGAACCCGAGTCTACTGCATTGGAAGGTGGATTCTTAACCACCGGACCACTAGAGAAGTCCCTGGGACCATTTATATTAAAGCTGAGACTTTCCCCACCTGTCCACCTGGCTATACAGTGAGAAGGTTACAGAGCTCATGTCTATCTCCTGCCTCCCAACCCAGCAGGGGCTTCATTCAGACTCAGCTTCTCTCCAAACTCCCAATGTCTGTGCTTCTCCCCCTTTCAAGGGCTCTCTCACCCATGACCTATGACAGCCCCTAATTACTAATGATCCCAGCAAGGGGCACAGTCCTTCCATAGGCAAGGCCAGGACACAGAACAGGGTGTTTCTTCTGTATTAAGGGCAAGAAGTCTGAGAACATGATATTCAGCTCTTGAAAGGACAAAATAGTTCATTTTAAAATGCCGCATAGTTTGGTACAAAAGAAATTCAATGGACACCTGCATACAATGCAGGGGTGTGTGCGCAGGGGACAGAAGGACAGACGCAGCATTGTGTGCCCCAGGTCCACTTGAACACCTGCACAGAGGACGCTTTGTCGGGCTCTCCCACCTGCTGCTCTGGGCCGCGGGCTGCCTGGCCGCGCTCTGTGTGATGACCGGCTCAGGGCACCACCCTGGCCCTGACGTGACTACAGCCCGGCTTTACTGAGCACCTCGAGAGCCCCAGTACCACCACTCCTCAGGGGCACCTCTCCAGCCCCAGAAATCTGGGAAACCATAACAGCTGTGTCTCCTGTTTAGATGTTAAGGCTGCTAATACTACCTGCTTTTGTATTGAATGAAAGGTAAAAGCAACTGTTCAGCTAATTCAACATTAGTGACTGCCAGGTGGTCAACACAGTTGCCACATCATACCAACCACTTCGAAAACCTTAGCGCTGCCTTCCCCTCCTAAGTTCCCACTACAGCTACTCTCAGCTACAACTAACGCCACTCTAACTCCAACCTCGCAACCTGTGCCAAAGCCTACCTTTGATGCAGCCAGTTTCTTTAGAGGACATGTCCTTATCTTGGGTGTATAGGCTGTAATTTTCTTTATAAATTCTGAAAATTAAAAAAACAAAACTACCACACTCCATGGGCTTCCCTGGTGGTTCAGATGGTAAAGAATCTGCCTTCAATGTGGAAGGCCCAGGTTTGATCCCTAGGTGGGAAAGATCCTCTGGAGAAGGGAATGGCTACCCATCCCAATTTAAATGTAGTCATTTTAAAGCTTGAAAGCTGCATTATTTTTTAAGCGAACTCAGGAGGTACTTTAGTGACCAGAATTGAGAAGAATGTGCTAAATGAGCATCAATCAGGTGGATTTTAGGCTATCATTTCAAAAGTGGAATAAATTTAAAAATTTAGTATCCTTAGAGTAAAATTTTGTGCTTGATAACAGTTATTTTTTCTATGTGGAAAAAAAGATGCCACACTCCAGATTTAAAGAAATGAATGGAAAGAATACAAAAATAGTAAAGTATAACAGATTATGGTTCATATTTGTAAAGCACCTTGTATCATTTAGAAATTAAAGAACAATGCCTTAAAGACTAGACTTAACCTAAAATGTTGGTGATCGGTATTTCACATTAAAGAAGGGAAAAGTTTGTCTGAGGATATAACTGTTGATGTGGGCAATAAAAAATCTGCTTTCAGATACTATACTGTTAGTATTTAACTGAAGACTTACCTACTTTATTTTAAGCCTGTATAACTTAAAGCATTTATACAAAGTCAAAAGCCTTCATCTATTCAACCACCCTAAATTTTTCTTATGGCTGTTAAAAAGTATAAAGTTGATTTAATTATATTTTCCTTTGTACTTCAAAAAAGTATCCTAACACTGTTGTACCTTAAAAAGATTTCCACCAAGATTTCCTAAAAAGTAACCTCTATGAGGCAGGAAGGAAACTGTTTCAGAATCATTTACTAACTCTTTAATGAGACAATCATTTTAAGTGTTGACACAGCAAATGGGACCAGTATAATTTCAGAAAAAGAATTTTAGTTAATCAGATTACTGTAGATTTTTAATAATGATTACCCTGGGTAAACAGACCACTTTTTCATTCTTCTCTATCCTTTCTCAGTTTCAATTCCTGTGGTATGATAAGCATGCATACTTTGATTTCTTTAGTTTCCTCATGAATCACTAGTTTTTTCAGGTTTAGTGGGATCCTTCTTCCCTGACTTTGATACACAAGATGAGTTCAGGGGCATAAGTCAGTTTAAAATGAGCTTTTGCTCACTACGTCTCCAGATCATTAAGGCCTTTTTTTTTTTTTTTTTAGTTTCTTTATCCTACAGTGGCTGAATTTAGCATTTGGTTTTCAATATTTTACAGTAAGAAATGACAAGCTGATTTTGACCATTTCTTAAGCCAAAATTCCTTACACTTAGATAATTAAAGGTTCATAAAATGAAGATTTACTATTTTGTCATTGCTTGCTGGTGCAGCTATAGTTTGTTTTATTTGAAAGTTTATACATATCCCTAATGTTTTCAAGTGCCTTAATTGTTTAATATCTCTGGCTTCAAAGGTTTCTGGGGAAAAGGTATGCTTGCCTCACATTTTTGTGTTTCAGTAGTAACAGTCTAGGTACCTCACAAAAAATTTTATTATGGTGCCATGACTGTTAGTTTTTTGTGAGTGATAAAAGAGACAAGATTCAGTTGAAAATATTTAGAATTTTCATTCTCCCAAAGTGGTAAAAATTAACTGCAATAGCATAATTATCATTTACCTAGATAGGAATACCTTTGTGTTGCTTTGCTAAGTCACTTCAGGTGTGTCTGACTCTGTGACCCTATGGACTCTTCTGTCCATGGGATTCTCCAGGCAAGAATCCTGGAGTGGGCTGCCATTTCCTTCTCCAACAAAACCTCGCCACACATTAATGTTAACATTGTAGCTATTTTCGTGAAAATGAAACTGATGAAGCCTCTCATCTCTGTAATTTTGAATATTGCTCTAACAGAATCATAATATGCAATTAGCAAGATTTTATAAGAGGAGCCTTACAGCAGAACTCATAACCTTTTCCCCTCTTCCTTTATCAGTTTAGTATCTTGAGTTATTAATAATTTGTTTTTTTTTTTTACTCTAGAAGGTATATAGAAACCTTTTCAGATTTTTCATCTGATTTATTCATATAGGCTGTAGTACAACTAAAATCCCTTATTCTACCTTACAGCCATTTGTTGCATAGGCAGATACTGTTGTGTATATTTTTATTTCTGTTCACTAAAAACTGCAGAACCAATCTGTATCATATACCAAATTGATTTAAAATAAATCTACGTGTTTACTGGGAACTAAAGAAATCTGCTAATGAGTCATACAAAGTATGTACTAGCATTCACATAGAGCAGACTTTATAATGGAATTTTAGTGGTGCTTTCTGTAAATGCTTCAAGAGCATTATGATGAGGAACACCAAGCAGGAGATGAATCCACTATATTAAGGTAGGAGAAACCATCAGGGAAGGTCAGACACCTTGTGTGAGTTTCCATGGACAGAAGGTGCTGGGATGTGGTTTCATGCATCTGGGAACAAACCACTGTGCTGTCAGTGGGGAAGGCAGCTGCTGAGTCAGAAGCAGGTGAACACGATGCAGGTGGCACCACAGAGTCACAGGCACGAAAGACAGGGTGAGTCTACAGTCAGGACACATGCTCTGTGGTCCCCACTCTGACAGCCCGGGCTTCTGGGCTCTGATCTGGAGGGTGGACCCTCTGGTGGAGGCGCCGCCTCCCTGAGTCCCTCCAGTCCTGAGAGTGGTAGCAGCTTCCTGCCTTTGATAACCAGTGGGTTGTCTCATTTTCCCCTCTTTTATCATCTATGTAACTAATTCTCTGCATGGAACTCTCTCTCCTGTGTGGGGTTCACACACAGGAGAGGAGGGGGAGCACAGAGGACCACGGAAACAGGGGGCAGGGGGAGCATTTCTGTTGGTAAAGGGGCTGCACTGGGTGTGCAATACTGACAGCTTCTTGAGACCAAGCCCTGTTGTTTTTTCTGTTTGCCTAAACCTAACAAATAAACCAAGAGTTGGAAATCACCAGTTCCCCCTGTCAGCTTGCCACAGAGTGCAGTTCTTTAACTGGGAATCACTGGTGCTCACTATATCCACCTGCTGTCTCCTCCTGCCCCTGGCTGCCACCAAAGTGTCCAGAACCACCAGAAGCTCAGGATGGGGGAGCCCCCACCCTACCCCACAGCCAAGATCCATATCATGGCCTAACTCTATATATAATACAGTGATCTGATAATCAAGGCAAAAGTGTACACTGATTCCCCAAAGCATCTTTAACAACCAGTTGTGTATTTGTTAGTTAACCCATTCCATGCTACAGATTTTTGTCTGTCCAATTCCATAAATTCTAACATTAGAAATGTATGGACTTTACGTTCAAAATGTGCTAACACTTTGAAAGCTCTCTTGAAAGTGACAGTGAGAGCAACATGTCAAACATCTTAGGCCAATTTCATATTTAATCATTAGATAAAAACCTTAATCCCAATTTTGAAAGTTTTTGTAACTTACTTTTGGTTAATGAGGAAGTCACATTTTATACCATGGGTAAAATCTAAAAATTCTCCGATAAATTCATGTCACAGTTGTATGTTAGCATTCAGGATCTTGGAATGGAAGATTTCTTACCTCATCCCAAAAAGCAGTGAAATCTTGCATGTCCACCATCATTTCACCACCTGACGGCAGCTGAGTGTTAAGCTGTGGTATTTCATCAAGTGATAAAAAATCCTACAGAAAAGAGGAAAAACACAGATTGTTAAACTGCAGGAAGAAAGCACAAACAAAAACAATTGCTTTCCTGGGATTTTCTAACTTTGAACAGTCTAATACTGTTTTACTAACTGTACTTAAAATATTAGTTCACATCAGAACATATTAAATAATATATGGAATAATATACATTATTATTACAGCTCATGGTTGTAGTGGGAATTCCTAATAATGCGTTTTTACAGCCTTGAGAAATTTCACAGAAATAGCACTTGGAAAAACAGCATACGTTAAGAAACTGTGTTATGATTGTTCTTCATGTTTTTCTTAGAATAATAGCCTTTTTACAGACCCCGAGGCCAGACCCAGAAGGGAGTATGACTGGGATCATGAAAGCATGGACCTTGGAACACCAGATCAGCGTCAGGTATGAACATTGCCTATGCACTTGCTGATTGTTCCTGAGACTTTCCCAGAAGGGAACAGCCTGGGGTAAAAATAAGGAGATCTGGGCTATGTCAGTGTAGTATCTTGGGAAAGAAATATCAAAGAAAGTATTGTAGTCTGCAATTAGAAATAAAAGCTGGACTCAGAGTGGACTCTGCACTTCAGTCCAATAGAGGCTGCAGGTCCCCTGAGCGATTGCACCAGATTTCGTGTTTTCATTCTTGTCACTTGCTCCCAGACCTTTAGGGCAACACATGGTATATATCAATATAATCATATAATATAGTGCATTTGTTGCTGTTCAGTCACTAAGTCGTGTCTGGCTCTTTGCAATCCCAAAGACTATAGCACTCCAGGCTCCCCTGTCCTTCACTATCTCCAAGCGTTTGCTCAAATTCATGTTGAGTCAGTGACACTATCTAACCATCTCATCCTCTGTTGTCCCCTTTTCCTCCTGCCTTCAATCTTTCTCAGCATCAGGGTCTTTTCCAATGAGTCTGCTTTTGGCATCAGGTGGCCAAAGAAAGTACTGGAGCTTCAACTTTAACACCGGTTCTTCCAAAGAATACTCAGGGTTGATTTCCTTTAGGATTAGCTGGTTTGAACTCTTTGCAGCCCAAGGGACTCTCAAGAATCTTCTCCAGTACTACAATTCCAAAGCATCGTTTCTTCCATGCTCAGCCTTCTTTATGTTCCAACTCTCACATCCATACACGACGAATGGAAAAACCATAGCTTTGACTATACAGACCTTTGTCGGTAAAGCAATGGCTCTGCTTTTTAATATGTTGTCTAGGTGTGTCATAGCTTTTCTTCCAAGGAGCAAGCTTCTTTTAATTTCATGGCTGCAGTCACCATCTGCAGTGATTTTGGAGCCCTAGAAAATAAAGTCTTCCACTGTTTCCCCATCTATTGCCATGAAGTGATGGGACTGGATACCATGATCTTAGTTTTTTGAGTCTTAAGCCAACTTTTTCACTCTCCTCTTTCACTTTCATCAAGAGGTTCTTTAGTTCCTCTTCACTTTCTGTCGTAAGGGTGGTGTCATCTGTGTATCTGGAATTATTGATTTCTCCCAGCAATCTTGATTCCAGCTTGAACTTCATCCAACCCCGCATTTTGCATGATGTACTCTGCAAATAAGTTAAATAAGCAAGGTGATAATAAACAGCCTTGATATACTCATTTTCCAATTTGAAACTAGTCCGTTGTTCCATGTCCAGTTCTAACTATTGCTTCTTGACCTGCCTACAGGTTTCTCAGGAGGCAGGTCAGGTGGTTTGATATTTCCATCTCTTTCAGAATTTTTCAGTTTGTTGTGATCCACACAGTCAAAAGCTTTAGTGTAGTCAATGAAGCAGATTTTTTTTTTTTGAATTATCTTGCTTTTTCAATGATCCAATGAATGCTGGCAATTTGATCTCTGATTCCTCTGCCTTTTCTTAATCTAGCTTGTATATCTGGAAGTTCTTAGTTCACATAATGGTGGGAATTATAAATTTGAAAGGAAGAGGGTAGCTAGAGAGAAAGGATTAAGCAGTAAATGAAAAAAGGACAGGGACGAAAAGGCCAATCCAAAAGACAGGCTCAGACATCAACAAGCAAAACATCTGTGCAGGAAAGAACTCATTTCAAACACAGAGAATTAGTGAATCTGAGGCCACTCTTCCTGTCAAAGCAGCAAGGAGCTCTCAGCAAGTTTTTCCCCTCCTGGCCCAGAGAGGAATCCTGTACCCCAGGACTGTGCACAGTTACTGCCTATTCACTGGAGTTAGCACAAGAGATGCACTCTGTTTGCTTCTCCTGCTTTTAGACATTTTAATCACTCTGCAAGCATCACTTCACAAGGGCCCTGAGCTACTGCTACTTATATATACTACTGCCCCTACATGAGAACCAGTCCTAGGATATCTATAACGTACTCTACCTAATAAGAGAAAAGAGTACCTACAACGTCTGCCAGCTTTGGCACTGAGAGAGTTAAATATCTCCTATCTGGAACACAGTGACACCAAACAAAAGAAGGCATTTTACAAAAAATCCACCTACAAAGGAAAACAATTATTTGTCCCCAAACCTTGATTCTTCGGATGCTGATGACAGCCTCTGACACCTTCTCGACGGCCATGGGGAAGTAGAGGGTGCTTGAGAACCGCAGAGCCTCGAACAACGTCACCACCACAAACACTTGGCTGGCTGTGACATGGTTGTCAAGGAGCTCATTGGTGATGAAGGTGACAAAAATCATAATTTTGCTGACAGCGAAAAATGATGCCAAATTCATGCCCCTAAGGTAGGAACTTTTCAGAATCTTGGAAATTTCCTCCCTGGAAAAGAGAACATGAAATAGGTTTTAAAAGAAGCACCGATATTCACATGGAGGTACTACACAGTGCACACCAAGGGCTCTGTCCTAACACCAGAGCCACACACTTCATCACCACTTCACTCTTCCAACTAAACAGAGGCTTGTTTAATGTCACCTTTTAAACACTGTGGGTCAACTGAACTGGGTTTGAACATTCTTTCAATAAGCATTCATAACCACAAGTCCTGGTTCAGGCTCCCCACTGATAACAGAAAGACACAGGCCATCCCCTCCAGGAGCTCATGAACTTACAGGGGGAGAGAATAAGACACCCCAACATTGTGAGGCACCAAGACATCAGACAGAGGCAGGCACCATGGCCTGCCTATTGTAATGGCCCTCTGGAAGCACACGTCCTGGCTATTGTAAATAGTGCTGCAATGAAGATTGAGGTTCATGTTTTCTTGAATTCTGGTTTTCTCAGGGCATATGCCCTGTAGTTGGGATGGCTGGGTGGTATGGTAGACTTATTCCTAATTTTCTAAGGAATCTTCAGCCTGTTTTACATAATAGCTGTGCCAATTTGCACTCCCACCACAGTGCAGGAGGGTACTGTTTGTAGATTTTTTGGTGATGGTCATGCCTACCAGTGTGAGGTGATACTTCATTGTAGTTTTGATTTGAATTTTTCTAATAAAAAGTGATGTTGAACATTCTTTCATATTTTTATTGGCTGTTTGTCTTCAGAAGCATATATAATTTTGACTTTAAGAAGATGGTAAATGGAACAGCAGGTTAAAATGATATTCCCCCTCTTCCACTTAACCCTCCTGCCACATGTGAGGTGTGGAGTTCATAGTATTTAAGCTCATCTTCATGTGAAAACTTGGTAAGACTTCTAACTTCAGTCAGTGAAAATAGGGGGAAAAGTACAAAAATATGCTGTGATACAAACAAAAACTTACCTTCTCAGTCTGGTAATAAGGTCTATAAATGACTTTTCCCAAGCATTAATTTTTATTGTTCTGATGCCAGTTATGACCTCACTCATGGTCCTGATCCTGTCATCCGTGAGAGCTGCAGTCTTACTCCTGAGGGGACAGATGTGAGATAAGACCCAGTGACCACAGTCCAGTTTTCCATAGCAGCAGCAGGAGGCACAGGGAGGGACCAGGGGATCGATGATCACCTACAGATCTTCTGTGCTGACATCACAGGAAGGTCCTTCTCAAAGTGCACATGGAGAAAAAGACAGAGGAAGTCAACCATTCAAGGAGTAACTTGGAGAATTGGCAGTACTGGCTGAGGAAGACCTGAAGTGAGTCAGGTACAAACTCTCTGCCCAAGGAGGTTGCCGTTGGGCAGGGAAGACAAAGACACTAAATCTAATGGGAAGACAGTGTCTGTGCTGTGATAAAACAGGAAGTGCTGGGGAGCAGAAAAGATCAGGCTGTTAATTCCACTGGGAAAGGAAAGCAAGAAGAGCTTTAGAGACCTGGTAGCACTGGAACAGGGCCTCGAAAGATAAGGAACATTTCTCCACAGCAAGACAGGAAAGGAAATTTCAAATAGACAAAACTATCACATGTAAAATCACAAAAAAAGAAGAAGAAAAAACTCAAGGAAGAAAAACTTCAAACAGCACAATACCTCCATCACCTGACAACCTGGATAATGACCCACCTCCAACCCTCTGGGACCTGCTTCAGGTCTATCTCATCGCCATTAGGTCCTTCATTACCAGTCATTGTTCTATCACATATGCTGCTGGGACTGTGGGTATTTATAAAGATATGGTTAATTAAGACTGACCTTGTCCTTGAGGCTCTTATAAATTAAAGGAAACACTGAATTAAAAACAAGACTGCATACCTGAAAATTGCTCTAACACAAGCATAACAAAAATAGACTCAGCTAAATTTGAGCCTATAAGATTATTACTATTTAATAAAGTTTAAATAATGTCAATGTAGGTACATTCTACTCAAGGACACTCCACTTATCCAGGTATGGTAGTGGGAAGATCCAGTGAATGCCATCATCTTTCCCCTTTCAAGATCAGCCTTCAGCTTAAGGCTGGAGCCTCCACTAGCAAAGCCTGAAGGGTCTACAATGCACACAAAGAAGAGACCAGAGAAGGCATTGGTTTTTTTCAAGAAAAGCATCAAGGAGATGGTGCATGTTACCAAGCATATATCACCTGTTTTTTAAACCAGTGTTTCTCTTACCGGAGTGATGAAAACAACATCCCGAAGCAGCTTTGCAAAAGCAAAAGAATAATGAGAACCGCCATCCCAGCAAGACACGATATTCCAATTTCCATCCAGAGCAGAGTGGTCACTGCGATAGCCTGCAGTGGTACCACCCACAGATAGTGCAAGAATATTGTAACCTTAAAAGAGAAAGACAAAGCCTTCTTAGGACTGCATACAACAAAACCAGTTAAGGACACAGTGTAGAAACAATCTGCTCTGAAGGAACAGACAGGAATCCAAACAGAAACGATCTCAGTGAGTTTTAAACCTGATGAAGCAGAAATCCAAGAGTACCCCAGATGACGCTATTCCGGGGCGGCACAGGGTCAGACTCAGGTACGTGCCAGGAGAACCTGACCAGCCGCACTGAAGGAAGATGTTTATTTTCTCCACAGCACAGATGAGCTCAGGGCTTCCCCAGACTCTCTCTGTCCCAAAATTCAGCCCCTATCTCCCCAGAAGAGCCTATATTATGGTACCTGCCACACTGTCTGATATCTACTTGTGTATTTACCTTCCAGACAGGCTGTGGCCTTTCCAGGGCTGAAATTAAGGATTATTAACCTTCAAATTAAGTAGAGGCCTTACATCATGTTTGATGAATTAAAAATTGAAAGAGAAGTGAAAGTGTTAGTCGCTTAGTCATGTCCAACTCTTTGCGACCCCATGGATTGTAGTCCACCAGGCTCCCCTGTCCATAGAATTATCCCAGCAAGAATACTGGAGTGGGTGCAATTTCCTTCACCAGGGGTTTTTCCTGACCCAGGGATAGAAACCAGGCCTCCTGCATTGCAGGTGGACTATTTACCACCTGAGTCACAAGGGAAGCCCCCAAACTTAAAGGCTGGGATCATCCAGGAAAGAGAAGTGGGCTATACAGATCTGTCCAACAGCTACAACACTCTGGGTAATGTGATCTATTCATAAGGTAAGTGTAAAATGGGTATGATGCGACAGCAGACAGGAGGTTACATATAGCTAGAGACCATCCACTTGGCATATTCCTCAAAGGCACCTAATGTAGCAGGCACTGAATAGTGTGCAGAGAACAATCCCTGCCCACCAGGCCTTCATCATCCAGAGGAGAAGGAAGATAGTCCCACAACATCAGCACCACGTACCAAGGATCACCAACACCAACATCACTCCAGGAGGACCGCAGGAACACTAACCAAGCTGGGCAAGAACACTGCTGCCTGCCTATTACAGAAGTGTGTTACAGACAGTGTCAGAAAAACAAAATTCTCATCTACAGGACAATACATATTATCACATCTAAGCTGCACACAGAAGAAATGAGGGTTGGATAAAGAGAACCTTTGCCTTGTGTCCTCAACAGAACCCTGGCTGACACCAAACCCTGGCACCTGGCATCCCAATAAGCTGAACCCAGTGAGAAGGACGGGACATGGAAGAGGATCCCTCAGGAGCAACTTACCTGGTCAAACCTGCTCACATCGTTGGACAGCAGGTTGACTATCTGGCCTGTGGTGGTCTTCCCCATGGCCGAGCTGCTCAGGCGAAGGGTCTGAAATGAGAGAGGGAGACAGAGAATCAGATTCCTACAGTGATACCAAGTCAGTCTGAGAACATAGCAAAATGGAGTGTATTTTCATGGGGTCTTGTGTGGTGTCAGGACGAGCAGGATGATGCCTGAAAGCAGGGCTCGAGGGACCCAAGTTCATCCTTAGATGATTCAACGTGGTGGCAGCCCTGTCTACAAGGACAGCACAGGGAGAAGCAGGAGACAGAAGCAAAACCCTCCACCCTGTTTCTCAGTGAACTTGGACCTGCTTGAAGGATAAAGGAATATAGCTTTAGACTTAGGGGTCAACTAAAGCAAATTTGAGCCAAAATCTAGACAGCATATTAAAAAGCGGAGACATCACTATGCCAACAAAGGTCCATACAGTCAAAGCTATGGTCTTTCCAGTAGCTTTCACATGTACAGATGTGAGAGTTGGACCATAAAGAAGGCTGAGCATGGAAGAATTGATGCTTCTGAAATGTGGTGCTGGAGAAGACTCCTGAGAGTCCCTTGGACTGTAAGGAGATCTAACCACTCAATCCTAAAGAAAATCAACCCTGAATATTCATTGGAAGGACTGATATTGAAGCTGAAGCTCCAATACTTTGGCCACCTGATGCCAAAAGTTGATAAACTGGAAAAGACCCTGATGCAGGTAAAGACTGATGCAGGAAGAAGAGGGAGCAACGGAGGATGAGATGGTTGAATGGCATCCCTGACTCAATGGACATGAGTTTGAGCAGGCTCCAGGAGATACTGAAGGACAGGGAAGGTTGGTGTGCTGCAGTCCATGGGGACACAAAGAGCCGGACAGGACTGAGTGACTGAACAACAACAAGATGAGAGTGGAGAGGCTGCCTCAAGGAAAGAGATTGGGCGACTTGAACTATAAATCTGGTCAGTCATTAGTACCAGGTGTGGTATCATTTAAACACTTTGGTCTTCATTTCCTCATTCTAAAACTAACCAGTATAATATTCAAAACACTAATCCTGTGAGGAACCTGTGTTCTTAATGCCAGTCTGCTGACTTGATAAAAAGCACAGCCTATGCTGTACAATCCCTTCACTTGATAAAAGGCTCTGAAAAATTCCCTAGAGATCTGAGGAACCTGAACAGACCACCTTGAGCTGTTTCAACAGACCACCAGCTGGAGCCATGGATCCAAACAAAATGTCATGGTTTGTAAAAATGTTCCATTTGGTCCTCATGTTAGAAGTGATATAGCCACAATGGAAGTGACTATGGCAGTTCCTCAAAAGACCAAACATGAAATTAACATATAGTATAGCAATTTCACTCCTGGCTACTCAAATTAAAGCATGAACTTGAACTGATTATTTGTGCACTGTGTTCATAGCAGCATTATGTACAATAGTCAAAAGGTAGAAACAACTCAAATGTCTACTAACAGATGAATGGATACACACATTGTTGTATATACATATAAAGGAATATGATTCAATCTTAAAATGGACTTAAATTCTGACATCTGCTCCAAGATGGATGAATCTTGAAGACACTGCACTTACATGGCATAAACAAAATGACAAACATTGTATGATTTCACTTATATGGGACCTAAAGGAGTCAGATTCATAGAAAGAAGTAGTAGAAGGGTGATGACTAAGAGGAGGGGACTGGGCTTTCAGTGTTTAATGGGTGCAGAGGTTCAGTTTGGGAAGAAGAAAAAATCCTGGAGTTGCACCGTGGTGATGGCTGCACAAGAATGTGAATGTACTTAATGTCACCAAATGGTGCACTTAAAAACAGTTAAAATAGTAAATTTTATGTTGTGTATATTTTAACCACAATTTTTTTAAATGGATGAACCAAAGCCAAAAGTAATTTTACCAAAGCTACAGAGAGGTAAATAAATGACAAGTCATCTTACATATGATGTGTGTATTAGTCACTCAGTCATGTTCAATTCCTTGTGACCCTATAGCTCTCCAGGCTCCTCTGTCTGTGGAATTCCCCAGGCAAGAATACTGAGTGGGTTGCCATTTCCTTCTCCATTATACATGATAAATATTCCAAATTACAAACTATGACTATGAGCTTGGCAGCCATCCCATTTCCAACACCAGATCTGCTTTCTCCTCAGGACCAGCGGTCTGGAGGTGGGGCCTGAGCATGAACCACAGAGGCTCACAGGGGCCTTTCAGAGCAGCTCGACAGCCCCAGCTGTGGAAGTGGCCCACCTGTAACCTGCAAGAAATGTCTTATTTCTCCATCTCACTAGAAATCTACATGCAAGGCTGTGCATGAGGAAATTCCCATCTTTCTGGAATTTCAGGTTATGTATGTACACAGTTTCTGACTTTGTAAAGGAACAATTATTTTAGGCTAATTAAGCCAGTAAACGAATACTGTGGGAGATGTTTGCATTCACATAAGCAACATACGAAGTCAGATCAGATTTCCCAAAGGAGACATTCCAAAGTGTTAGTGGGAAGAGAAAGAAAACCATATGGGCAGTGGCTCACCTATGCAGCAAATCACGAACTTTGTTTGACTAAATGATCATCTCAAATCTAACTTAAGGTTTTCACAGTGCAGTTCTGGTGAAATTTTCTGCATACTTATGGGAGCTAAGCATGATCTGGAAAGATAAACATCTAGCTAATTTGTGGGGAAATCTGAGTATTTGTCTACTAAATAGCAGAGGGTTCAAGAAAAACAAAAATGATGATGGCTGACAATGAAAACTCTTAACTGGAAGGTATGTCACCCAAGGAGAAACCGGAATCATGTGCCATACCCAAAAACACAGACAGTGAGATGCCAGGCCCCTGAATCCACACAGTCCCGACACTTAAGAAGAGTCTACTCAAGGAAAGATGGGAGAAGAAATACTACATTTTGCTCAGAGAAGTACTCCAAAGAAACAGGAGCTCTAGATAAGTAACAAATAGTAAAAGAAGTAATAATTTTCATTTAAATCACCTGGTTTTATCTTTCATTGAGGATTTTCTTCATTTTTAATAAAATTAAATATATTTACTATGTGCAATGTGATGTTTTGATGTAAATAAACATTGGGAAATGGTTACAGTAGGAAAACAAATGAACATACCCATCATCACACATAGTTATCCATTTGTGTGAGTGGTGAGAACACTTAAAATCTACTGTCAGCAAATTTCAGCAATAAAATACAGCTAAATAATTTTTTTTTTCTAGGAAAAAGCAAACAGCCCGGGGCAAAGAGATATTCAGGGTCAAGTTTATAAAGAGCCCTTCAGTCCTTAACACTGTAGTAATTCCTTTGTAAAAACAGCTAAAATCCTTAATTCTTTTAAACTACTTAAGACTAGGGTAAACTATAGAATAATTCTGTGGCATTTCTCAACACAAAATCACTGAACACACCAAATCAGGTCTTATTAAAAGTGCTAAAATGCATAGTAAAGAAAAGGGAAATACTGAATTAAGAAAATAACTTGAATGAATAGCAACAAATTCTCACCAAAATTACTAAAAACTGCATAAGATTTCAAGTTTCATCCCAACATTCAGCTCTATTCTTTAATACCATTATAAACAATCATAGCTATAGAATGTAGTGAGAGAATCTATGTTTGGCATGGGTTCCATTTATATTTTTCTTTAGTTCACACAATTACATTCAATATGACTAGATGGGTCATTTAAACATAAAATCATTCCCTTTCTCAAATGCATTTTGTGCTCCTAGATTTAACTTTATAAATTCAATCAATGAAGTTTACTTTTAAATACAAATTTGATGTAAAAAATGGTCTTAATGAACAACAAAATTGCCACAAATACAGCTACAAGATTAAGGCATGAAAACACTGAAAACCAATTTGATACTTTTTATACTTATTTTTTAATTAGATTCCATTACAAGCTGAGTGGATATTATGCAACAACCTGTGGATAAAAGTTATCAAAGGCAGCCCTGACCCTATCTCAATACAAAACTTTTCATCATTTACTGGTAAAGTTTGCTTAAATGACAACAACAAAATTGGCCTGATGCAAATAGCAAGCCTCTCTAGGAAGGTTAAATGATCCCAGTTACAAGATGTTTAATTTACAGAGAACTTTTCCAAAACGTTCCTGATGCTTCAGGGGAGGTACACACCGAGGCACCGCATGACACTCACCTTGCGGTAGATCATATGGCACACAGCTACTCTCAGCCTCATCCCCACACGCTGAATATGATAGAAGTACATGTGGTGCAGAACAGCCCACACGAGCACGCAGGCGCTCAGCCCTGCTGCATAGCCATAGGCTTCGTGTAAAGCGGCAGAATTGGCAGGATCATAGTTTTCAACATAACTAATAATTTTCCCCAAAAATACAGGCAGAACTACTTTGGTGCCTTCCTGAAACAAAAAAGCCTTAATTAGAAATACAAGTCATGCCAGTTTTTCTTAACACAAGCTTTACTTTTATTATTAGCTTGTTAAAAAGCCATCTTGACAAAATGCCACATTCATAGTACTAACCTAAAAGAAAAATACACAGATCCACTATCTCCAGTAAGACAAGCAGACAACAGTTTTAACATAAGCCAAAATCTTACATTCAAAGACAATAAAACCTTAGTATTGGATTGGCCAAAAAGTTCTTTCCTTTTTTGAAGTAGCTCATTCGTGTCCGACTCTTTGCAACCCCATGGACTCTAGCCTGCCAGGCTCTTCCATCCATGGGATTTTCCAGGAAAGAATCCTGGAGTGGGTTGCCATTTTCAGTTTTTAAGTAAAAGTAAAAGATACACTTTTCACTTTCACTTAGAACTTTGTTGAACAACATCTTTTAAGTTCTGTTTCACTATCTCCTGCCATTTTTCAGGAAACCTGATAATTCCACCTTTCCAGAACTTCATATCTTTTTGAGCAAAGAATGATTTCAGGTGCCTTTTACAGTCTTCTTGGGAATTAAAACTTTTTCCATTAAGATAATTTTGTAAAAAACAAAGTAAACAGAAACCCAAAGGAGCAGTGTCTGGTGAATATAGCAGATCAGTCAGAACTTCCAAGCCAAACTGTCACAGTTTTTGCCTGGTCATCAAAGAAATATTCGGTCTTACATTATCCTAATGGAAGATAATTCATTTTCTGTTGAATAATTCCAACACATTTCACCAAGTGCTGCATTAAGTTGACTTAACTGGGAGAAGTACTCATTGAAATTATCTGTTTGGTTTTCTAGAAGAAGCTCATAATAGAGGACTCCCTTCCAGTCTCACCATATGCACAATATCACCTTCTTTGGACGAAGACTGGACTTCGGTGTGGTTGGTGGTGGTTCATTTCACTTACCCAATGATCTCTTTCATTCCACATTAGTGTACAGTATTCACTTTTCATTGCCCATCACAATTTGCTTTTAAAAAGGAGCATTTTATTTATGGTTACATTGCAGTAGAGAATTACATGTGGAAATAATGGTCAAAAAGGTTTTTCTTTTTTTCCCTCGCTAACTTAGGTGGAAACCAAACATCAAAGTGATAATATAACCAAGATGGTGAAATGACTTTCAGTGGTTTTTTTTTTTTGGATATTTTGAGTATGTTGGCTATCTCCCACATGGTATAACATTGACTATTCTCAATTAATGTCTAGATTTGATCTCTATCGACTTTAACTGGTCTAATTGATTGCAAAACATCATCCACCAAGAAATCTCCAACATGAACCCTTTTTTTTTTTTTTTTTGCTGTATTGGGTCTTCATTGCAGTGTGCAGGCTTCTCTTGTTGGAAAGCGCCAGCTTAGTTGCCCTGAGGCACATGATATCTTAGTTTCCTGACCAGGGATCAAACCTGTGACCCCTGCATTGGAAGGCAGACTCTTCACCACTGGACCACAAGGGAAGTTCCCTGACGGGTTTGTTTTTGTTAGCTCTCTTCTGTTTGTAAAATGTTGAGGAACCCACAAGAGGAAGAGAAGGAGAATCCAAAACTCAAAACATAACTAAAAAGCATTTTCTGCTCAACTAACTACTGCCTGATCAGATTATTTACAGAAAGCAGACCCCATCTCTCAAATGGATGTGACACTGAAGCCCTGCACTCCTGTCTTGTTCTACACACATATGTTCATAGGCTGTAACACCTGCCTTACCTTCCACAAGGTCACAGGAGATTTCATCTACTCCAGAGAAGACAAGACTGTTTATTGGAAAAATTATGACTAAGATGACCATTTCAGAGGAAGATGACCAATTCTCAAGAACACAAAGGCTCACTGTTACATTTCAAGCAAGCCTCATCATTTACCCCTGGAGGCACTAAGAGCTTAAGAAGAGCCCCTCATAGATTGTAAAACACACTGTTTGTACCCTTTACTGAGATAAAAGTCTGGAGACTTACACAGAGAATCAAGAAATTCAAACTACACATGGCAGTCCTAGCCCAGATACGATCAAGGGAAGCCTAGTGCTGCAGGCTACAAAGTGCTGGGGCTATCTACCAGAAGCCCAGTGGTAACACCTGCCATCCCAAAGTGTCCTAAAACTGTGATTCTCTTTGGAAATCACTTGTGTCCTATTAGTTCAGTTCAGTCTCTCAGTCATGTCCAACTCTTTCTGACCTCATGGACTGCAGCTTGCCAGGCTTCCCTTTTTATCACCAACTCCTTAAGCCTGCTCAAACAGATGTCCATCGACTCAGTGATGTCATCCAACTATCTCATCCTCTGGCGTCCCTTTCTCCTCCTGCCTTCAATCTTTCCCAGCATCAGGGTCTTTTCAATTGAGTCAGTTCTTCGCAACAGATGGCCAAAATATTGGAGTTTCAGCTTCAGCATCAGTCCTTCCAATGAATATTCAGGATGGATTTCCTTTAGGATTGACTGGTTGAATCTCCTTGCAGTCCAAAGGACTCTCAAGAGTCTTCTACAACACTACAGTTCAAAGGCATCAATTCTTCAGTGCTCAGCTTTCTTTATAGTTCAACTCTCACATCCATACAAGACTACTGGAAAAACCACAGCTTTGACTAGATGGACCTTTGTTGGGTGTTATTCAGCTGTCTATTACTCATCTATTTGATTTCTAACATCATTTCAATTACAGGAGGAGTAAGAGTAATGTCACCCACCTAAAAGAATACTAATAAATGCAAGAAATCCAGCAAAAAAGAGTATGAGATAAAGGCAGGTCATTACCACCTAAGAGTCTGGGTTTATCTCCTGAGAGAGTCTTTAATACTCAGTTGAGCAAACAGACTCACAAAGGAGTAATGCCAGTCCATGGCCTATAGCTTCTACTCTTCTGTCTATTCTTGATCCTAACCCTCAACTAGTGAGGAATAAAACAACTGAGAAAATATTCCCTATCAAACTTGAAACTAACCACATTGAAACTTTCTGGATAAGCAGGCACAAGATCAAAAATCATGCCCCAAATTCTTCATCATTGACATCAGTCTAAGTTTGATTTGAGAATATTCTTTACACAAACCAATTGAGAACAGAGTTCTTACATCTTCATAGGAATTCTTCACAACTATGAAACCATGAAAGATTTTTTAAAAGAGTCTAATATAAAATGACACCATTCAATCAAGGTTCTACAATAATGTCAGAGTCTCTGGGACAGATATTTCTTGGTAGAGTCCTTGGTATTCAGCCTCCTGAAAGCATTTGACTTTTGGGCCCCATTTCCTGCTTCTTAGGGGAAATTTTCACAGGGTTAAGTGCTAAAATTTCTCTACTCAGTATAGTTTCTCTGTTACATTTCCACATGTACTTAAAAGGTTTCTTACCCAACTCCACCATCTCTGCTTTATGAGAAAAATTAAGAAAACACAGAAAACAGAAACAACCTATATCAGACAAAGAAAAAATGCTTGAGTGAAATATATAAGCAGAAAAAAGAAAGCTTGTGGGAAAAATGAAGGGGCAATTTACCTTCAGAAATGGGGGAACAAGCGACAAACAGTAGAGCTGAGAAAGATCCAGAGCTAAGGAGGAAGAGCAGTGAATCTGGGAAAATAATAACCATTAGGATGCTAAATATAATTTCACTCCTCTTGACACAGTTGTCTTCATCCTGACTACACCTTAGCATCACCTGGGAGGGGTTAAGAGCACTCTGAGGCCTGAAGTCAAGCCTTCATAAACTGGTTTAGGTTCAACTGATTAAGGATGGACCTTGAAGTTCTCTTTGCCTGGAAGATTCTGGATGTAGAAACTAATCCCATGGAAGCATCTGCTATTCTACTGCATCATCAGGGCATCTGGGCCTGGAGAGGCCGTGAACCTGCTTTGAAGGACTTACAAGTACCACAAAAGGTTTTACCCTGAGTTCCATGTTACATATCATACTTCTAAGAAAATTCCTTATGAACCCAAACTCTTGAGACTCCAAAGATGAAATTCAGACCTTTCATTCGAAACCACAGGAAAAAAATGTTTATAAAATATGGTATTTGCAAAATTAAAATATGAATCAAATTTGTAATTTACAACTAAAGAGGGTGAAGAATTAGAATGGAACAAGGATACCAGTCTTCTTTAAAAATAGCCTCTTCTGTTGATTTGACTTTGGAATTATGAAAACATTATACACAATTGTAATTATAAAACAATCAAGTTTTCAAAATCAATTTCTAAAATTTCAGAGTAAAATAAAACAAAAACTACATCCAGTAGGTTGGCAGTTATACAAAAAAGAATTATTAAAAGTGGTTTAAAAAAAAATTGAAAACACATTCCCTGTGTGATATGCCTATCTAAGTACAATATAAACAACAACAACAATATGCTTCCAAAAGTCACATTATGGTTAATAGTATTGATACTATAAGATTTGTAAATGAATAATTATGTTGGTATCATTGAGAACTGGGATTAACTGAAGTTTCTCAGTTGTGTCCAACTCTTTGTGACCCCATGGACTATAGCCTGCCAGGCTCCTCTATCCATGGAATTTTCCAGGCAAGAATATTGGAGCAGGTTGCCATGCCCTCTTCCAGGGCATCTGCCCAACCCAAGGATCGAACCCAGGTCTCCCACACTGCAGGCAGACTCTTTACCATCTGAGCCGCTACTAGGCATGGCAGAAAAGAGAAAAGATGATGACAGGAAAAGGGATACCAGTCTAAGAGTAAAAAGATAAGGTAAAAGCACTACCATCCTGAATCCGATTTCGATTGGAAATACCCATATAAACTCAAGGTCTGTTTACTACAAAAAATGTATACTAGCTTTGTCCAGTGAAAAAGCTGAGAAACGATAGCCAACTCAACAGCAATGTGCGCCCCTAGTGCCCAGACCATAGTCTCTAAATACCATTTCCCACTAGAAGGAGCCATGGCTGCTTGGAGACATGGAGATTCCAGGGCTGGGGTAAATTTGTACTTAAAGATGCACAGCTTTTTTTGTGTAATGATAAACCAGAACCTTCTTGTCACACCAGAAGGTAAAAAATTAGCAAAGATGTCTATAGCTTGCACAAAAGACAGGAGTCCTGGGAAGAGACCTATTCTACTCTTAATGGCAGAGGCTGGTTTCACAAAGGGCTTAGAAAACTCACTGCTGTTTATAGGCCATCGTGACAGAACAAGAACTGTTGAGAAAAGTCACTTTTAGAAGCCAACTTTTCTGGACAGTAATTAAAAATTTCACTTCTAAGCAGAATTTTGAATTTTTCACCATTATGAAAGCAATCTTTTTAAAAATGAGTCACCTACTTCCTCAGCTTATTAAAGATAATGGATTGATGGGGATTGGAGTATGAGTGAAATAGGTGAGGGAGATTAAGAGGCACAAACTTCCAGTTATGGGAATGTAATGTACAACATAGGAAATACAGTCAATAACACTGGAATAACTTTGTATGGTGACAGAGGGTAACTAGACTGATCAGGGTGATCATTTTATAATGTACAAAAATATTGAATTACTATGCTATACACTTGAAACTAATATAATATTGTAAGTCAATCGTATTTCAATTTAAAAAAAAAAAGTTTTCAATGAGACAGCAAAAATACAGTTGTTGTTTTTTTAAACGAATTGAAAAGCATCATCCTCATATATGTCTCAAAGTCATTACTGCGGATATCACTAACATCTGATGGCTAATACTATGCTCTCAAAATCAGCAGGGCAGGTCTGCTCTGCAGGTCCCTATCTGCTTGGCTCAGTGCCCCCTCCTCCTCTCCCTGCTGTGTGGTCCTCAGTGGTTGCTCTCAGCCCACAGTATCTCTGCCACCAGCAGCCACTCCCCAGCCTCCCGGGTTGAGCAGAAGTGAGGGACACATGGAAGAAAGGGCTGGGAAATAAATGCAAAGACCACTCAGCTCTTGGGGAACCAGCCCTGAGTCCAGGCACGAAGCCCACTTCTGGGATGCAGAGGATTCTGTTTACTTCCTGCCCATTAGCTGAATTCTGAAGGGAAGATTTATACAAATACGTGCCTTCCTATAGCCTCTACCTAAAACAGAGACAACCAGCAACAGGGACCTTGGACAAAGGTCAGTGATTAGACAAGGCCGGCCATTTCTAAGGTTCCCAGGAAGAGGACATGAACCCTGGCTAATCCTCCCCACTCAGGGGAAGGGAGTGAGTGAACCCACTGAGGCTCTTCAAGTCACCCCACTTACACACCAACAGGTGAAGACCTCACCTCTCAGAGAGAAGCCCTGATGACCTGGGGAGGTGGGCTCTGTGTCTCTGGTCCAGGTAGAGTCTTCAGGCTCCTCCTATCCACCCTGAGGGTCCCGGGCAGGTGGAAACCTGCTCTCCTTTTCCTTACCCAAGATCCCCATGGAGCCAGGGGCAAGGGTGCTGGGAACTCACTGGCTGTTCTGTTCTAATGAGGGGTGACCTGCACATGCTCCAGGTTGAACAATAGCCTGGTACTTGCTTCCCCAAGCATTATGATCATTCCTCAATTTTCACAGGACAGAGGTTTCACACTTTGAAATCCTAACCCTTAAAGCCTCACCCTAGACTGGCATTGCCCTGCCTCTTCCCACTGGTGCTGCCAGGAGTGCCTGTGCTGTGGTTGGTCACAGCACTGTCTGGGAGCCATGGGTAACCCATGAGTCATTCTGTGCACCAGAGGAATTAAAAGAGGGCAGGAGATCACAAAGTAAATGTGTTCATGTTTTAGAGAGTCCTGAGCTGAGTTTAGATCTTCTGCTATCTAAAATTATCACCACTTAGGGATGGTAATGAGGGGAAGGTTAAAGGGCTCCTAGTCCATCTGAACAGAGCATGATGTTGCTTCTAGCATCAACATCTGAGTCAAACTGGCACCCAGAGGACATGGACACCTGAACTCTACCCTCATTTAGGATCCCAAATCTGACTTCCTGCTCCAGGAAGTTCTGAGCATCCTATTTATATCATTAGACAATGTTCAGGATGCATGTGTCTGACACTATGAATACAAAGCTCTAAAGACAAGCCTTTCTGACCCTGGACGAGCTCTCAGGCATTGAGATGAACAGGCTCATAAGTCAGAGTGCCTGAAGCGGAACCTCAGTTTGTTCTTTAAGCTCCGTGTGACCACCGGCATCCTATGTAACTACTTCGACTTAGAGTCCTCTCTTCTAAAATGGGGGTAATATGAAACCTACAACTTAATTGAGTTAGCCCTAGGAATAAGAGTGATATTATACATAAAGTGTTCATAGCAGTTCCTGATACATAACTTATCTTAAGTACTTACTATTGTTACTGCTGCTAAGTCACTGCTAATAGTACTGCTGCTGCCACCACCATGACTACTGAGTATGAGCCCCTGTTACTGCTACTAGTACTTCCAGTACAACAGAGGATGAACTCCCTTGTTCTCAAGGTCCTCTACTCCCCACTTCTATGCCATGACCATCCAACAATCAGTCTCCTGAAGGAGGGGCCAGGGTTCTACCAACTGACACCTGACACAGCCCCAGGCCTGGCCATCCTGGATCCCCAGCAGGAAGTAGTACTGGAGCTGGACAACTTTGAAATCAACACCCCACCCCACTCTTCAAAAGGCACTGCAGTATCTCAGTGGTCAGAACCCTCTCTAAGGCAGCACTCTGCCCCACATACCTGTCCCCACCCTCCAGCACAATGGTCAACCCACCTTTGTCATCAATGAAAACTCCATCCCCCAGGACCATCCAGTCCCCTGGGAGCTGACAGATTGTCTCTCCAGTTGTGTGGGGCTGACTTCACCTGCCCAGCTGCCCACTGCCCACAGTGCCCTTCAGTACAGCACAGCCTTTAAACAAGAGCCACACCACCCACCTGTAAATCACCTGGCCTCACCCCAACATGCTGGACTGACGAGAGCTCACACCTTCTCCACCTAAAACCCCCCTTCCACAGCAGCTGCATCTTCCATCCCTCCTGCTCTCACACACTCACAGCCCGCCAGTGTCCCTAAGGCAGCACTGAGGGACCACGGAGAGCACGAGCCACCCAGGGGGGTCTGCAGCAGACCTCCAGCAGGCTCAGCCAGAACAGGGGGCTGCCGGCACTGTGTCCCCAAGTGAACTGTCTCACTGGGGGGTCTTGACCCAGAATCTTCAGGGTCATGGAGCTCACTGACCTCACAGGTTTCTGCCTTTGGTTTTCTCCTGCACGTCCCCTCCTACACCCTCTGCCAGTGCCAGGATACCAAAACTCTCCTTTCAACCAGCAAACCACCCCCACAATCACTACTGAAACCAGCACAGATGGTGCATGGATTCTCCACGATTCATGGTGAAGCTGGAGCTCCTCCCTACAGGGGTCTCTGACCTGGATGACCTGGCCCACGGGAAGGAAGCAGCCCAGGGAAGGGTGTGCTCTTGGAGCTCTGGCAGCTCCTGCCCAGATGCAGGGCCCCAGGTCCTGTTCCCTTGGAAAGGGAGAGGTGATGATCCCTTCTTAGGAAAGCATTTATCAGATATGTCTTGGGCAAGTTAACAATTGCTTGCTGAAACCTAGATGCCCATCAGCAGACGAATGGATAAGGAAGCTGTGGTACATATACACCATGGAATATCACTCAGCCATTAAAAAGAATTCATTTGAATCAGTTCTAATGAGATGGATGAAACTGGAGCCCATTATACAGAGTGAAGTAAGCCAGAAAGATAAAGACCATTACAGTATACTAACACATATATATGGAATTTAGAAAGATGGTAACGATAACCCTATATGCAAAACAGAAAAAGAGACTCAGATGTATAGAACAGACTTGTGGACTCTGGGAGAAGGCGAGGGTGGGATGTTTCAAGAGAACAGCATCGAAACATGTATATTATCTAGGGTGAAACAGATCACCAGCCCGGGTTGGGTGCATGAGACAAGTGCTCGGGGCTGGTTCACTGGGAAGACTCAGAGGGATGGGGTGGAGAGGGAGGTGGGAGGGGGGATCGGGATGGGGAATACATGTAAATGCATGGCTAATTCATGTCAATGTATGACAAAAACCACTACAATATTGTAAAGTAATTAGCCTCCAACTAATAAAAATAAATGAAAAAAAAATTGCTTGCTGAGTAACTATAAAATGTCTTAGATTTTGAGCTCAGGTCCAAGTTTACTTCCTCCAAACCTGGAGGCACATATTCCTTGAGGTTTTAGGATCTTCTTTTTCTCAAGGATCACTTTTAGCATTTATATCATTTACTGAGCACTAACAATGTCCTGGAGAAGGAAAAGGCAACCCACTCCAGTGTTGTTGCCTGGAGAATCTCAGGGATGGGGGAGCCTGGTGGGCTGCCGTCTATGGGGTCACACAGAGTCGGACATGACTGAAGCTACTTAGCAGCAGCAGCAACAATGTCCTAGTATGGTATAAAAGGTGTTTTCTTGTCAGTGCCATCCTTCCACAATACTATGTTTTAATTGGTTAAAAGTAAAATATTGGCTTGGAAAACAGTTCATTCAAGTTTTGCCATAAGCTGTTATGGGAAACCTGAAAGAATTTTTTTGCCAACCCAATAGTAATCCCTTGGAACATTTGTCTTTAAGCACCTGTCCATTCTAAAAGTAAATACAACTGCTGAACTACATCATGATTCACAGACAAGTTTTATCTTCAGACCTTAAACCACTGTCCTCTCTCCCCACCATCTCATCCATCTCAATACCGATCTGTATACACTGAGAAGCAATGCACAATAAGTAAAAACTTTTACCTCAAGAAATGTAAGTAGTCCCAAAACGAAATAGAATTTCCAGTAACACTTGATGATTGCTTTCATTAAAGAAGGCTCCCCTGCATCTTTCTTGGTTCTCAAAACTTCTCGATCCCAGTACCTGTGATGAGAAACAAAGCACAGTAAATCAGACTGGCTACAGGTGAACGGGGGAGGGATGGAGTGGGAGATGAGCCTGAGTAAACTGCAGGCGCTCTGCGGCTGCCCCATAGGTGCTGGCTAATTGGTCACAGGGCTCCTGAAGGATGAGCAGTGTAGACCGAAGCACCTGAAAAACCACCAGACCAGGTTTTGAGGGAAAAGACCAGTCTCAGAAAACAAGTTCCTATCAAGCTTTGCTAGATTCACAGGTCATGAGCAGCTCAGGAGGGCAGACACCCTCCTCCAGGGGCCCCACCTCCAGGGACAGAGCTTGGCCTCCAGGGCCGTGGCTGTGGGCTCCCTCCACATCCACAGATGCACAGGGAACACGGGCTCCCCCAGCCTCCAAAGTGGGCTAAGCCCGGGGTCAGCCAGAGGGGGTGAGTGTGCAGTGTCAGGGGAGGAGGCTTCAGGGAACCCAGAGGAAAGCAAAGCACACCCCCCCCACACACACACCTTTAGCCCCACGTGGAAATTCTCACTCTCCCTCCCCTCCTTCCTGCTGTCTGTGCTCACCCTTGCAGCTCTTCTCCAAGGTGCTGGGAGCGATCTTCTGGAAGCACTGAGTACAAGTCATCTTGTTTTAATTTCCGTTCATTACCAATTTTAAACAAGGGGTTTAGCCAGCTGTTGAAAAGTAAAAGGACAGTGACATATATCTAAATTACACAGCTTAATTAGAATCCATTGGAGAAGACTCTTGAGAGTCCCCTGGACTGAAAGGAGATCCAACCAGTCCATCCTAAAGGAGATCAGTCCTGGGTGTTCACTGGAAGGACTGATGTTGAAGCTGAAACTCCAATACTTTGGCCACCTCATGCAAAGAGTTGACTCATTGGAAAAGACCCTAATGCTGGGAAAGATTGAGGGCAGGAGGAGAAGGGGACGACAGAGAATGAGATGGCTGGATGGCATCACCAACTCGATGGACATGGGTTTGGGTAGACTCTGGGAGTTGGTGATGGACAGGGAGGCCTGGCGTGCTGCAATTCATGGGGTCACAAAGAGTCAGACACAACTGAGTGACTAAATTGAACTGAATTAGAATCCTACAGTGATGGGCTTTGTTAAAAAATAAACAAACTATATTTTAAATATATAGAGATATGATGGAATAATTAGACATGTGTTTACACAGTCACACACAGACACATACACACTCCCTAACTCTGTAGGCTGAGAGGCCTCGGAAGCAATGACACACTGGTAGCAAAGAGCATTCTAGCCCCTGGTTCTTGGGGTTTTGTTTAACATACACAAGTACAATTTTTTTTTTTTTTTTTTTTTTGTAGGAAGGACTTTCAAGCTCTACTGTCTTATCACCTTTCAAGTATTCAGTACAGTAGGATTAACTATAGTCGCCAGACTGGACATTACACCTTCATGAAAGTGCAAGTTGCTCAGTCATGTCCAACTCTTTGTGACCCCAGGACTATACAGTTCATGGAATTCTCCAGGCCAGAATACTGAAGTGGGTAGCCTTTCCCTTCTCCAGGGGATCTTCCCAACCAGGGATCAAACTCAGATTTCTCGCATTGCAAGTGGGAATTCCATGAACTGTATAGTCCATGGAGTGGCAAAGAGTTGGACACGACAGAGGGACTTTCACTTTCACAAGGATGTAATGTGCAGTCTGGTGACTATAGTTAATCCAACTGTATGACTTATTTTATAATGGAAGTTTGTATCCTTTGGCCCTCTTCACCCAGGTCTTGGCTTTTTAATATCCTTCTTCCCTAAAAGGAACCAACTGAAGAAATGGCTGGTTCCAAGGTTGGGGCTGTGTGTGTCAGCACTGATAATTCTGGTTTTTTTGGTTTTTTTTTTTTACTGTAATATAAGTGCCTGACATGAAGCTTTGGAGACATCCATGTCAGAGACATCCATCTCCAGTTAGCACATGACAGCTACATAACGAGATAAAGAGCCAGGTCACCCCACCCATAAAGTTCCCGCTTTTAGAAAGCTCTGGTTGACCTGATAACAGACCATCTCACTGACTGCTTGCTTCTCTCTTCCCGCACTTTAATTCCCACTCTTATTTTTTAAATTCACCAATAAAAAGTGAACCTTTAAAATCCTAGACACCCCACTCTCAACCTCAAAAAGGCAGAATCCTAAGCCCAAGCTTGCTCATGAGCACTCTCTCTCTAACCAGAACCTCGCTATGTCAACCCAGGGGTGCCTTGTACCCTCCAGGGCATGTGAGTGATACACCTTGGCATTTCAAAGTTCCCTGATGGTTGTTTCTGAGACATGTCTCACAATCCTAAGAACCACAAGGGCCGGTCCAGCCACAACACTGACTGCAAAAGGAGAATTTCTGTGGCGGCTGCTCATAACTAGTATGAGCTCTGGTGAGCAGAGCCCCAGGCAATTCCAGCAAAAGCCTCACTGTCTACAGGCCAAGACCAACAGGCAGAGAAAGTCCAATATGGGTCTGGGACATCTTGTGCCATAAAATAAGGAAGCACTCAAGGAATCATGAGGATGTGTAGAAGGACAGAGAAGCCTGAATGGCTCTTGTTAGACAAATCTGGGATACTTTAAGCATCAAAACAAGCAAATGGCAATGAACCCTAACCCAGTATATAATGAAAGAATCCATGAATCTGTAGTGCTACATAAATAGGAGAGAAAGGAAAGCTCTTGCAAACAAATGCAAACAAACAAAAAAGGAGTAATCAGTTACTTTTAAGCTGTGTACATAATTGAAAATGTACTATACTGAATAACTTTTAAGTGTAAGATATTTTTTATCTTTATATGAGGCAAAGCCCTTGGGAAATTGTTTTGTGATTCAATCTGTAAACTATATGTCCCAAGACATGTCTGTTCTATATAGATGCTTAGGCCCTTGTGCAAATCAAGTGTTGGTCCAAAAGACTGCTAAAATTTTATATGCTTACTGATATTTTACACTTTTTTATCCTGCATGTCCTATAAAGTTATAAGTCTGCACAATAAAAATGTTTAACAATTCAGAAAGAAAAGGAACCGTCAAGTCAGAAAATCATCAATGGAAATTAAAAATAGTGTGTGAAAGCTTGAAGCAGAAAATGATATTTACACAATCTCAACTTATTTTTCTGCAATTATTTATTATAAAGGGAAAAAAACAGTAACTGTACAGATGATCCCACCAAAAAACCTCTTCTGATCAATTATGCATTATTTAAATGATAATAGTTAGCATGCAGAGACAGTCCATTGGTAAACACCATTTTACTGATGTGCCAGGGTAAGGAAATTTCCAAGGCCAGACCATAATAGCCCATGGATAGAGACCAAAGCAGTCAGTCCTAAAGGAAATCAACCCCGAATATTAATTGGAAGGCCTGATGCTGAAGTTCCAATACTTAGGCCAACCTGATGCAAAGCGCTGACTGATTGGAAAAGACCCGGATGCTGGGAAAGCTTGAAAGCAAAATGAGGAGAGGACAGCAGAAGATGAGATGGTTAGATAACATTACAGACTCAATGGACATGAACTTGAGCAAACTATGGGAGAGAGTAAAGGACAAGGAAGCCTGGTGTGCTGGTCCATGGGGTTGCAGAGTTGGACACGACTGAGCGACTGAATAATAGCAGCAATAGAGATTGCATTTCTTCTATCCTATTATTGTGAGGACAACATGGGTACAGATGCTCAAGAACTATTTGTTGAATGTATGAATATCCATGACTCATTAAAGAACCAATAAGATAAACTGAACTTCAGATTTTGCTAATCCTGGTAACTTGGCACCCCTAAAGAACACTGGTCCAGGAGTCAGAAGACTGGACTCTAGTCCCAGCAGTGGTGCTGAGCACCAAGGGCCTCAGCTGTCCTCTGCAACATGTCTCCACTCCAGTTCAGCAGCTCCACGACCTTTAACATCTCTAGGTCTCAGTTTCCTTCCAAAACAACAGTGTACATCTAGGAGCTTTACCACTAAGCACGTTTCACACATGTTGGGTGATTTATTCCACACTTGTCCCCTACAGAAAATGCTCAGGCAATCAGCACTGGGACCTACTCAGATGATGACACCCTGCCCCCAAAGTGAAAGCGTTAGTCACTCAGTTGAGTCTGACTCTTTGCGACCCCATGGTCTGTTCACAGAATTCTCTAGGCAAGAATACCGGAGTGTGTGGCCATTCCCTTCCCCAGGGGATCTTTCTGACCCAGGGATTAAGCCAGGCTCCCCTGCATTACAGGCAGATTTTTACCTTTATCTGCTCTACAAGGGAAGCCCACAAAAGACCCTCTTTAAAATTCCGCTTGAAGAGGAAAAGATGCTCAACATCAAAATATCTTTGGATGCAGATTCCTTCTTAACTTTCGATGGGAAAGTTTAACATTTATTTATAGCATTAAATAATGTTAAAAATGTGGTATTTATTTTTTAATTAACTTTTTATTTTGTAAAGGAGTATATCCGATGGACAACATGATAGTTTCAGGAGGATAGCAAAGGGACTGAGCCATACATACACATGTATCCATTCTCCCTCAAACTCCACTCCCTTCCAGGCTGACACATAACATTGAGCAGTTCCCTGTGCAATACAGTAGGTCCTTGTTGGTTATCCATCCTAAATACAGCAGTGTGTACATGTCCCTGCCAAACTCCCTAACTATCCCTTTCCCCCTTCACTCTCCTTGGCAACCATAAGTTTGTTCCCTAAAGTCTGAGAGTCTGTTTCTGTCAAAATGTGGTATTTAATTGAAATGTAGGCAGTCTCTCACTTTTGTTTAATACAGGTTATTGTTAATTAGAATGTGATGCACATCTATGACCATATGTTTTGGTGCATCTTTCCTTTTTCCAAATTCCCAGAAGTATAATAATTAGTAAAGGACTGAATTGCTTTCCATTAGGTTCAGACCTTGATGCAAGTCAGGAAGCAACAGTAAAAACTGGACAAGGAACAACAAACTGGTTCCAAATAGGAAAAGGAGTACGCCGTCAAGGCTGTATATTGTCACCCTGCTTATTTTACTTACATGCAGAGTACATCATGAGAAACCCTGGGCTGGAATCAAGATTGACAGGAGAAATATCAATAACCTCAGATATGCAGATGACACCACCCTTATGGCAGAAAATGAAGAGGAACTAAAAAGCCTCTTGATGAAAGTGAAAAGAGGAGAGTGAAAAAGTTGGCTTAAAGCTCAACATTCAGAAAACTAAGATCACGGCCTCTGGTCCCATCACTTCATGGAAAATAGATGGAAAACAGTGGAAACAGTGTCAGACTTTATTTTTTGGGGCTGCAAAATCACTGCAGATGGTGATTGCAGCCATGAAATTAAAAGATGCTTACTCCTTGGAAGGAAAGTTATGACCAACCTAGATAGCATATTAAAAAGCAGAGACATTACTTTGGCAACAAAGGTCCGTCTAGTCAAAGCTATAGTTTTTCCAGTGGCCATGTATGGATGTGAGAGTTGGACTGTGAAGAAAGCTGAGCACTGAAAAATTGATGCTTTTGAACTGTGGTGTTGGAGAAGACTCTTGAGAGTCCCTTGGACTGCAAGGAGATCCAACCAGTCCATCTTAAAGATCAGTCCTGGGTGTTCACTGGAAGGACTGATGCTGAAGCTGAAACTCCAATACTTTGGCCACCTCATGGGAAGAGCT